CCTTTCACAGACCTGTAATCAGCTACTTTAAGCAACTTTTGGTTACTTTTAGTGGAAAATGGGAAGAAGACACCATACATAATTCAGTGTGAGGGACTGAATGCTTTCTTATCATCTCAGAGAATGAAGCTAGGAAATATTTATTTTAAAAATAATATGCATCATGAAATCATCATGATATTTCTTAATCAAATTTAAGAGTGGAGAGATTTTTTTAACTGTTTGCCACTTGCTCATGTTAAGTTTCAGATCTTTAATGACCTGGGTAAATTATTCATTGTTTTATGCAGAAAATACACACACATAGTTGTCTCAGAATAAATATTAAGACTACCACCAGCAAAATGATTACAAAATGCATTTTAAGGTTCTTTGCAGTTGTTTTTGCCCTTGGGGTAACAGTCCACTGAGGATAACTAATTTACCGGTTTAGTCATTTGGAATTGTCTTCTTGGTGTTGTTACGCCACCTACTGGATAGACAGGCTCAACTGTTTCATTTTGCTCTTGATTGCTTTCTTTTGAATGTAATTTTGTTGTATGTAATAGTGTAAAGCTTCGCATGACCCTAAAGTCAAATTTATGAAACAAATCTAGTTCCCATCCTTATCCCCTCTATCCTGTTTGCTTCTTCTCCCCTTAGATAACTATTTTATTTTTAAATCCTGTGATTTATCAGTCCATTAACAAATCAATATAATCATATGGATTAATATATACCTATATATTTTATCTTCTCCCCCATGATATAAATGGCATCATAGTTTACATACTCTCCAGATGGAAAATATATAAATATTATTATTTCAGGTATATTAAGTCTGTGTGTATATAGTAGACTGGTGTGTTAAATTTTGCTTTGTTAAGTTATTTTAAAATAAAGGAGGTTAATTAAAGTGATATAATACATAAATTTATTGATACCATCCAAGGATTTGGCATCAGTTGTATCATATTAGGTTAAATGTATTTCTATTAACATAGTCATACACACATAAGTATATATGTATGTACATACATATATATATATCAGTATATACACAAATTTGGGTATGTATAGCTTCCTCTATGTAAATAACTTCTACATTCTAACTGTTTCATTATGTGGTCTCTGTCATTTTTGTCCCATGAACTGTTACCAAGCCATGATCATACATACAGAAAGTAAAGGAAAACATTTAGATACATTTAAGGTAATTTGTCATTGTTACTAACTCCAAGGATGTGATTTTGTATTTTACAAAAGTATTGTCCAATAATGAATTGGAAAAGACAATGATACCTTTACTATAGGTAGTCTTACAGCCCTGGTCTCTGTTATTTGCTTGTATTCTCTCTCTCTTGCATAACATTTTATATTTGGGAAGGTTTGTGCTTTTTTATTATGTACTTTCATTAATATCTTTAAATGATTTTATGTGATTCGCTGTTTTATTAATATTATATTTATACCATTCATTCCCTTTCTATTACTTTCTTTTGTTATCTTCCAATGAATAGAATTGAAATAGCTACTATTGACCCTTTGCCCCAGTTCCCCAGCATACACTTTTACCTATTATATTTTTATTCTCCATTGACATCTGTGAGGCAGTCAGAGCTCTTATTCTGCATTTCATTTTCCCTTTTCAATCTGTAACCCACTCACTGATAGCTAAGTATATATAGAAAAAAATGGCCATTGTATTTTACATTCATGCTTAAAACCAACAGGAACTCTGAGTGATACAAATAAACTTGTATATATTTAAATGTTCACCACCACTTCTATTGTTGATGTCTATTGAACCACATTGATCTTCTGAGATTTGTTCTGTACTTCAGGAGAGTTTCATAGGGACACTACTACCCAAGTTGTTATGTGCTCATAAAGAATCATGGTCATGGCATTTAATGGTCAGTAGAGCTGGGTATAAAATCTTTGTCTTACAACTGCTTTCATTGTATTTTAAAAATATGTTAGATAAATGCTCCTGGAATAAAGTATTGATATAAAAATATATTTATTGCCTTTCTTTTCAATAGCAGGGATATTGACCTTTTAACTAGTGCCAAATGGAATAGTTTTCTTTTTACTTAATGTTTGGCAATTTTGGTAGATTTTGCCATGTATGTCCTTGAAATTGTATGGAAAGTCTTTTGTTCTCAGAAAAGTGTTCTTGAGTTATAACTGATAATGTTTTTTTTTTTTATTAAATCAATTCTCTTTTTTAAGAACTTCTATTTCATGGTTTTCCTTTGCCTATTGTTTATGTATTTTTTCACAAGTATATGTTTTATTTTTAAATTTTTATTTATTTTATTCTGTTAATGTTTTATTAATTTATTTGAAAGGCAGAGTGACTGAGAGAGGGAGAGAAGGAGAGAGGGAAAATGGAGGAGGAGGAGGAAGAGGTGCTTCCTTTGCTTTCCAAATGCCTGCAACAGCTGGGGCCAGTCTGAAATCTGGAGCCTGAAACCTAATCCAAGGGTCCCAAATGGTGGCATGGAGACAAGTAGTTGAGCCATGATTTGCTGCCTTCCACAATGCATTAACAGGAAGTTAGATTGGACGTAGAGGAACCAGGACTCAAATAAGGCACTCTTAAAGGAGATGTGGGCATATCAATCTGTATCTTAAGTGCAACACCAAACGCCTGGCTCTAAGTAAAAAAAAAATTCAGTCTTTTATTTAGCTTTATTTATAAGTATTTACTTGCTTATGTCTATGTTAACAGTTTTCCTGATGCAGAGAAGATACACCTTGAATTACTGTGGGGTTGTGTCCCAATAAACCTATTGGAAGTCATCAATATCATAAGTCAAAATTGCATTTAATTAACCTATTGTATTGAACAACCTAACTTACCCTTACCTACCTTAAACTTGCTCATGACACTTACATTAGCCTAAAGTTGGGCAAATCTTTGAACACAAGCCTATTTTAGAATAAATACTTTACTGAAAATAAAAAAAAAAAACAGAATGTTTGCATGCATATGCTTTCATACCATCTAAAAGTAGAAAAATCATATAAGTTGACCCATCGTAATTTGAGGATCATCTGCATATTGTTTAAATGTCATGGTCATGCTGATGTCCATGTGTGTTGATAGTTCAATGCTCGACAGTAACTATCTCCATTTTCTGTTAATTAATGGGGTCTTATCACAATCTTAGGCCTCTGTCTTTCTTCCTCCTCCCCAGTCTATGAAGAATCTCTGAGCAGCTCTTTCCTACTAGGTGATCACAACACTCTGGGACCTCACAAACATCACTCCCTCCATTCCTCCATGAACAGGTGTTAGCATGGGTTCTTAATCAAGATGGTAGAAGATAAGGCTTGCAGAGATCTGACCCCCAATGGGCACATATCAAAATAAGGAGGGAATACATGAGGAGAAAGTAGTAGTTGGAAATACTTTCCCATTATTTCAATAGACCTTCTTAGGGTTGTTCTTGGACGCTTTGCTCTTGGTGGTGCAAAAGGGGAGGATGCCATGAGAACTGACCCTGGGCCCATGTTACCTGGGCATCCTCAAGTAGAAGACTGGGAAGTGACTGACAGAGATTAGGAGATGAGAGATGACAAGACAGAAGGTGGTAGTGCAAGGATCTAATTTCTTCATAGGTCTGCTTTGTTCTTCAGGTAGCTTAACACCACAGCAGATTTACCTTCAAGGTATTAAAAGTTGTTCATGCTTAATTTTAAGTCTGGAAACTCAAATCTAAACAGAAGCAAAATCTTTCATTTTACAGGTAAAGATAAAGGTATTGAACGGGAAAGACTGAATGAGGTGGCAATTTGGGTGAGAGTGTTTCCACCAAAGAAAAACCGATGATATGAAATCTGTTTGTTTTACTAGAGGGTCATTTAACACAGGAAGGCAGAGGGCCTGGGGAAGAGGATGTAGGAGATTGGCAAAAAATTCCCAAGAGGAAGACAGGGAGCTGCAAGAATGAGGGGACTTCAAAAAGTTTAAAAAGTAGAGTTTAAGGATAATTTCTGAAGAATCTATGGAAGCTACAATGGTCTAGGCATGTTAGTAACATAAGATCATGTAACCATAGTCAGATGAATAATTCACATATAAGGTTCCTGTTAAGTCTGCAGGGACATAAATGACTCTCTTTTCAAGCTGCTCACGTTTTCTGTGTTTCAGGTGGCATTTCTTACACAATTAAAAAAGGACCACAGGAGCTGAGATAATTAAAACTCAGTCTTCCTCACTATGGTATTAATATTTTTCAATCTTTTTTTTCTTTTTCCTGTTTACTGAATAGGCCAAAGCAAGTGCATTGAGGACTGGATAGCTGAGGAGACAACTCCTGTATGTTTTTTTTTTTCTCCTCATTCTCCCCAGAGTCGTCCCTTCTTGCCTTCTGAACTAACTTGTTCCCTATCCCCACCCTTAGATGTTAGCATTATCCAGTCTCTGGCCCCTTCAGTCAAGGTTAGGAGAAAGTTCTGTTATTAGCCTCCAACTATGCACGAATTAGGCTACCAGCATATTCACTGACCTACAATAGGAAAAACAAAAAGAAACCCTTATGAGTCAGAAGAAGAAACATTGAGTCATTAAAAAGAGGGTGTTGCTATTCTATTAATTTCAGCTACACGGAACATAATAACCAGTGTGTGAAAGATTGTCAGCTTTCATCCAAATAATGTTATGTAAAACCATTAAGAAATCAAACTCCAGAGAGTGGAGCACATTTTTACCATTAACAATGTTAGTGTTGAGCTTGGAGAAACAGAAGATGTTATTGATCTCTGCTACTTTTTTGTGCATTTGCCTTTTTCCTTAGGCATTTCTTCATATATTATGCTTCCAAAAAGTTTAGTTTGGGCCCATAATTACTACCACAGGGGAGGGTGGCTGTGTATGTGTTTTGTTTTACTTCAAAATCTAGATGTGCATCCCTTTTAATCATATTCCTTTTTCGATTTTAATCCAGCAGATGTGGGCTTCATGGGTCCCATTCCTTCCATGCTACCTCCCCACTCCCATTTTAACTTACTGTTTGTAGTGTTTGTCATTCACTCAGGAGTTCTCTTGAACAGACACGCAGACCCTCTAGTGACACTGAAGGGATCCCAAAGTCGATTCGGCCTGTGAGAAGAATAATGCATGTTTTAGTCTCTAGGTCCCAGAGACATGAAACAGCAGGGGTGACAACCTTGCAGGAACATGGGATGAGATCATGTTCATCAGTGTCTGAGCTTCCTAGACTTTCTCCATATACTTACTCAAATCAGTTCATGCATTGTGTGAGTCACAGTCCTGGGCACCCTGGCTTGAGTCAATGTTGCCTTGTGCTCAAGAGTTTACAATTCAGCAGGCTGCTGTTTGCATCCTCTTTCCCTCCATTCACTGTTCACTGTGCCACGTGCACCCATGTCTTTAGTTAGTTTCTTTCCATCCCCAGTTAGCCACTCTCACAGGGATCCCTTTTATCATGTCTTGCCCCCCCTCCCCCGCCAGTGGCTTTTGTGAGCCTGAAATTCAAAGTCTCTATACTCCAGCATCTACCCTGTTCCATTAGTTCTCAACCCTGGTTGTGCATCCAGATGCACTGGTGACTTCTGGGAGGAGAGTCTGTTTATTTTTGAAGCAGACACCCAGGAACACACCTGTAGAGCAGGTGATTCATAAAGTTCTCCTTGGGTTTCTGATGTTTGAAAAGTCTGACTCAGGCTTTGTACCATCCAGTGTTTTTTACCATGTATGGGCCCTAGAATCCAGGCTTCTCATTCTTCAGAACATCTCCAGGTCCCTAGCTCTGAGTCTGCCTCCATGTGTACTCCTCCTCATGTCAGAGCCCTGAGTCCTTGCTCAAAGCCCCAAGGGCATGTACCATGCTTAATTTCTCTCCAGCTCTCCCAAGGATTAAGAACTGCTTCCTGAATGCATGGCCCAGCTGGAAGCCCACTGAATTTCCTAATCCTCCAAGCCAACATTCTTCAAGTCCTGGTCAGCCCCTTTCTTATCTGAACAGGTGAAGTGCTTAATTGTACCACCCAAGGACTCAGTATATCCTAACTTGTGAGTTTAGCTTTGAACATATTTTTATTTGGTACATCTTCTATCTTTCTCAACTGTTTTGTACATTTGTTGAGAATGGAGAGTCTCATATGTATTTTGTTCCCCCATTACATCATACTATTTTCTGCATGTAACTGTTTTTTAACATGTTCTTGGACCCTTTCTTCTGTTTCATAATCCAGCCGTGATGAGGGAGGACCCTCAGCTTTCAATTTTCTCCTCTTTCTTCCTGCATCTTGTATCTATCATCCAGCCATGATCTCTGATTTTAAGGACTCTGGCGATTAGACTGAACTTACCTGCATTATCCAGGATAACCTACCTATTTGAAAAGCAACTGATTAGGAACCTCAATTCCTTTGGCAACCATTATTTCTGCCTTTTGCTATGTAATGTTGCATCTTAACAACACTAGCAGGTATTATTTTTAATCACATTTTATGAATGAAGAGAGACATAGGCACAGAGAATCTAATTAACTTTTTCCAAACCTGAGCTAATGAATGTCACAGTCACAGTGGGCTGGCTCCAGAGTTTGTACTTTTATTCCTTATGCTGCATGTTTCTTTCTGAGGAGCCCAGGATTTGTAAGTTCCTCTCCAGAATTTTCTTTCTGGAAACCTTGACCTAATATGCCTACACTTTATTAATTCAGGAAAAGCACTTTATGATCTGAAAGCATATCCATCAATGCTACTTCACTTAGTTCTCCAGATAGCTGAGGAATCCATGAAGATACTTCAAGAAGTTTATGGAAATATGGAATTAAAAGTATGAGTCACCGGCGCCACGGCTTAATAGGCTAATTCTCCGCCTGCGGTGCCGGCACCCCAGGGTTCTAGTCCCGGTCGGGGCACCGGATTCTGTCCCGGTTGCTCCTCTTCCAGTCCAGCTCTCTGCTGTGGCCCAGGAGTGCAGTGGAGCATGGCCAAAGTGCTTGGTCCCTGCACCCCATGGGAGACCAGGAGAACCACCTGGCTCCTGGCTTCGGATCAGCGTGGTGCGCTGGCCGCAGCGCGCTGGCCGCAGAAGCCATTGTGGGGTGAACCAACGGAAAAAGGAAGACCTTTCTCTCTGTTTCTCTCTCTCATTGTCCACTCTGCCTGTGCAAAAAAAAAAAAAATATATATATATATATATATATGAGTCTATTTTGGTGCAAAACATTGAAATCTATGCACAGGTTTTTTTTTTTTCAAAATATACATTTTCCACATATTATGAAAGAAAAAGTTTTGCACCAAAATAGAGCCACATTCTTAATCCCATTTTCCCATGAACTTTTAAAAGTAGCCTCAGATTATGACTGTTTCTACTTTACAGATATAAAAACACAACTGAACCTTGGGTATGTTAAGTGGCTTCTTCAAGCAACATAGCTAATAAGCAGTTCTAGTAAAAGCAGGGCAACAACCAAACCCTGCACTCTGTGATTCAGATTTTGAACCTGATGTGATGGACTCAGTACAGGATTGGGTTGTGATTGTGTGACTTGAGGCTTTCAAGCCTGTGTCTTAGAAAGGATTAGCCCCTGCGGTCCATATCTGGTTCTGCTGTGCAGACCCCACTGTGACAGCCCCTACGTCTTCATAGGGTGCATGGCTCTCTGTTCTTGCTCCTCTCTTCTCAGTCTATTGTGGGGACCCATGGCTGGCCATGGGCCCACATGCTAAGGCTTGGCTTGCTGACCACTGGCATTAGTTACTGCTGTGTGGATGTTTATGGTTTCTGTTGAGCTGTGATATCGGGACCGTATCATAACCCCAGGCTAGAGTCAAAACAACTCTGGCCTTGGGGCTTCCTGTACTTCTTTTCCCACTGACCAAGGCTGAGAAAACACCAGGTGGAAGCTTGTTGTTAGCACCCGAGTCACCTGGTACGTGACCAGGAGCTTGATTGGATGAAGGCGCGTGATCACCTTTATGGTTGGACAAGGAACGCATGGACTGTGTGTGATCAGGCACCCGATGGGAGCGCCGCCGCATGGACTGTAGCATGGACTAAGCTTGCATTACATGCTTCTGCAATGATATACTATATAAGCCATTCGTGATGTAGTTACGGGAGCTTCCCCTTTCTTTTGGAGCTCCCCTTGCTCAAGGGTTTCTCTTTTTATCCTGTTTAAAATAAAAGTCTACTGAAGACCGATAAGCTGCGAGCAACATCGTTCCTTTGTGGGCAAGGGAGTGACAGTCTATATTCCTTTGGAAGCCATAGTTAAATTTTCTACAACAGTTGCATCATGACAGGACCCCACTTAGAAGCCTGCAATGGCTTCTAGTGAAGACTTCAGTACCAACTGGAGGTCCAAGGCCCCATCTTACATCTCAGCAGCATCTCTGGCCATTTCTTCCCAACACTAGAAGCTCCCAGCAGTTAGCTCTGCTCTGAGAATAAGTCTGCCTTGTCTCATAAAGGGATATGCTACAATAACGCTGCCTGAATGTCTTCCCCGGTGTTCAAGTTGAGAGGCCTCACTCTTCGTTAGTTCACATGCAATCTCTAAACAATGCCTTCCTTGCTCTTGCAGACAAGAGACAGTTGTTCACTCCTCCATGCATCCATAGTGCTTTGCATATAACTCTCATTGACGGCATTAGTATTCCTGCACCCTTCTGCTCCTTTCCACTGGAATGTGGCATCTTGATGCCAAGAAACATTACTTGACTCACTTATATGTAATTATTAGTTCCTTCTACCCCATCTTTAATTCCTAATGGTAGAGAGAAAGTTCTTGATGTGGCTCCCATTGATCAAGTATTCATCTCTTAACATTTTGGTTAGAGGGAAAATATCAGATGAGGAAAACCCCTGCACCCTTTCTTCTAGGGTCAAGACAAAATTAAATTCAAAACTGGGTGAACAAATTATTCTAGTCTATTGCTGTAGAAAGCCAAGTGGCCCTTGAAATTCTAGCACTCTCTTCTCTCCATGGGAATGATCTCTATTGTTTCTGATTTCTTCACTAGTACTTTACCCTTCCTGCCCCCAAGAAAACTACTATTCTATTCCCACCAAATAGTATAGAGTTAATTTAGTTCCTTGATAAGAACAGAAGTACATGTGTGAGCACTACCCCAAGGGTGGGTCCTCACTTTGCTGAATTTTACAGTCATAATTGTAGTTGTGAAAATAACAGCAGTAATCATCAACAACCTAACCTATCAGTCCTCCTGAATTATGTGTCCCTTGAAAAAGTGGTGCCTCTGTTCCCACCGCTATGAAATGCAGATAACAACAATAATCAACTGAATAAGAAACATACAGTGATTGTATATAAATAGTGCTGTGGTAAGGAATAAATGGGAGGATGCAGGTTAAGGCACTCAACATAGCACCTGGTTCATGCTAAGAACTCAGTAAAAGACTAATCATAGTAACGTTGTTTTCACCATAGAAAGATAAATATTCTGGAAGTACTCTCTGGGAATAAACTGGAGTTTAGTTATGGGCTTTGAAGATGATTTAGATAGAGGTAGAGGAGAGAGGTGAGGCTTTTGATCCCAGAGGTGGCTCTAGGTGGAGCTGACCAGAGTGGTTGAATGGACAAGAGAGCTTGGAGAGAGAATCAATCCTTATGGATTGATATCCTTGGTATCCAACTCCCATGTCCTCTCTCATGATATTTCTTTGAAATAATTTCATTACTGTGAAGCATCAGAATAAAGCTTAAGGTTTTCTCAAAAGGGAAAACATGCATTTATATATTGGTTTGCTATTTAGTCATTATGTGGTAGTGTAGCTCAGGGATTTATATACCATTGTCTCTCCAAATACACAAGTATGGCATCTGCAGATCAGAAATATTAAGAAAAAAATGCTTCTGTGATGATACATGCAGTCATTTTTCTTGTCATCATTTCATAGATAGTAAAACAATTATGTACATAGCATTTATAGTATTAGATATTTCTAAGTAATATAGAGATGATTTAAAGTACTAAGGGGGATGTGTATAGGTTATCTGTAAATGCTATGCCATTTTATAAAAGGGACTTGAGCAGCTACAGATTTTGGTATCTGTGTGTGTGTATGGTGGTGGGGGGAGAGGTCCTGGACTCTGGATA